TTGTGTAATTAGTCACCACTTAAAGCGTTCGAGTACATACAGATGTCCCTTTTATTGAGAGTCCGAGGCTGGTATTTGTCGGACAAACAAGAAAAAAACTATCACAAGATTGCTTGGATTGCTGAGATCGCAGCTTCACAAATAGTTGCGGGCCGCAAAGGAAACGCTTTCATGGAGGAAAAAATCATAAAATATTGTTATGCTTTTTACTATTATCATTGTTATTCAAGCATTTTGGCAGTACTAAGCATTACAGTTGTTGACTCATTGGGCAGCTTGTCGTGTAGATAGTATTTCTCAAGGTTCCATTTCACGCCACACATAAACTGGACATTTAGACATAGCTGCCATTTGGCTGTTTACAAACTAAAGATGGAAGGTAAATAAAGTATTTCCACTCTAAGACTTTCTTAGGTTTAACAGACACTGTTAAGTCTAAAATTAACATTTAGGAACGAAATATAGTGAATGAACATGACACAGAATGCAACAGTAAAAAAAATCAAATGAAATATATAAAATGATCTATATAGCCCAGTTCATGAGGGTACATAAACGTATTCGGTACAACTACTTTCGCAGTATTCAGCTTTTTTAAAAGAGAGCTCACGCTCCTGTATGGAACTTGAGTCTATATATGCAAATGATTTATGCATATGAAACTTGTGGCAAAGCCCGAAACTCGGAGATAGCGCAAGGCACAGATATAAGCTCATTGCATGCATGCAAGTTTAAAAACATATTCGATCGAGGTACCCGGTAAAATGATAAAAAAACGATAGAAGGTTTACCATCCATATTACATCAGACAGTTACAAAAATCTTGAGGACATGTACAGGTAAGCAAACGATTGAAGGAGTGCCTGTCTAAGAGCCCTGTCGACTATTTTCCACTACAGTACAGTAGTTTGTTTACAGCGCCAGCCTTGGATCTGGAGCTCGCCATACTACTCTATGTGCGCTGGAAGTAATCTTCAATACCTTGGAGATTGCTCTTCTCCAAACATTTTTGTGAAATTTTTGAGACGGAGAAGCTCCAGATGAATGTAATAGTATAATTTGTTTTCCTTAAAGTCCATGAAATGTCCTGCTTCACTTTCTGTTTTTGCTCTCTTCCGTGGGTTGTTTTTCTCTGACTGTCAGCCATTGTGGATATCCCTGAGTACTCAGCGTTGAGTGAAGCAATAGTGAAACTGACCAGGGAGGGGACGGGAAAAATTGTAAATAACCCCCAAAGCGATTAAGTTAAGGTCGAAACCAACCAATTTAACGTCTAAAAACGCGTTGTAACCCCTACTTTTTATCTTACCAAATGAAAGTAATAAGTCTACTCGGCAAACGATCAATTTTTGGTTCGGGGAAAATCTCGTTTACACTATTTTTAAGGCAAACGCGTGGAGAGGGGTAACTGCTCATAACTTCCCAGTTGTGCTGATATTTCAAAAAAAAAAGTATAAAGAGCAGTTGTTATGTTATCATTTGTTGCTTATTTTAAAACCTTGTTGCAATTATCATTGCATTTGTGCCAGTTTACGTGTACACTCAGAAATTTGGGGAAAAAAATAACCTTTTATCATGTTTCTAAAAAATGCCTATTCATTGTTTTTCTCCATATTGAAGCGCAGTTATCTCTGAAAAATGCGTGGTTACCCCCAGTTTTCTTTTTGGATGATCTACTTGTCTCACATAGTCATTATCTGGGAAAAAATACTTCCCATTATTGGGCACCGTCCTTAAAACAAATATCAAATTAAACTCATACATTGGTTTTGTTGTCACAATTGAAATTGATCTGGGAAGAAAAAAATTTAGCCGGGTAGAAATAAACTATTCGCGCCAGGTACCCGGGAGGCTAAATATCACTGGGTAGCCGACAGAATTAAACCACTGTGTAGTGTTTCATTTGCTCTGCTACAGAGGGGTGTTTTGTAATGTGTTTTTATACAATAATAATGAAAACAGCCTTGAATAAAATAATAATAATGCGTCTTACCGTGAGATAAAAAGGAAATCCAAAAAAACGTTACTTTGTCTTGTGACTCGTGTTTTAAACCTTTTTACAGTGTCCTTCGCGTGATTTGACTTAAAGAAAGTTAGAAGATGCAGGCATATGACAAGAATAACAATTCGCCCACTTCTGTGAACAAAAAAGATGGCAAAATCGGTTTTTACTACTATTTTTCATACTATATTTAGAAGGGGTATTGACAAAGTCCATTTAATGTGCACCTCGCGTGATTATGGCCTGACACAACATCAAAGACTATAAAAGACATAAAGACATGGTGTTTAATCAACAGTGTGATTGTACTCACAAACCTTCTCGAGTGAAGCTTTACCCGAAAACACTCAGCAAAATGTCTGCGCCAAGAAAGGTAAATATCACATAGTTGGATCTAAACTGTGTTCGAAGAGCATCATTCAATCTGATTCATTTTCCATTACTATTATTATTATTTTTGAATTATTTATTTTTTCATTATGTTGTATTTTTATTCTTTTATTACTTTGGATTGTCACCTCTGGGTAACCCAAAAAGAAGGTGCTTATTGTTTTCTTAAATAATTTTTTCATTTGTTCAAAAGGATACAAAATGTACGTAACGCAGATTTATTAATAAAACAAAAGACAAATTAAAGACAAATTTTTTTGTTTTTCAGAAAATTGCTCAAAGCGAAGATCTTACTCGTCCGATAAATGTCGGTCTACGAAAAGATGATGACAACGAAGGTAAAGTCTCTTCTCTTGTGGGATTATTTTTTTGTACATAAACAAATCAACGCAGTGAGCTCTGACTGGCTTCACGGAATGAAGTAAAACAAATGAAGGTTTCCCTGAAAAAAATTGCAATGCCTTTTTTTTTTAACCTTAACCATAAACTCTAGTGAATGCCAGTTTTTAAAAATGAACCTAGCGAAATTTGCAGCCCTCTGAGTGAAAAAAAATTTTAAAAAATCACTTTTAATAACTGTTAATCTATCTAAGTTTTTATATTGGCTTCTTTTGTTTCCACAAAAAAACTGCCTGAAAGAAGAGGTCTATTTGGGAGTAGTGCTTTCAAGAATCCTGCTAGATATAGAAATGTCAAAACTCGTGTGTCGTTTTATAACAATAAATTATCATTTTACATTCTAGGCCAGCTTCTGTGTAAGGATTTCAAGATCCAGGTTCTTCCTGCAGCCTTCTATCTGAATGAAAATATTAATTTCAATCAGTCTTGTTCAGGAAAAATGAGCACACAAGGTTGTTGTTGCTGAGGAGCACTAGTGCATCATCCAGCACTGTTGCAGTATTGATGTTAAGCAGCAATTAATTACGGCTTAATTTTTGCTGTTTTCTCATGTAAACTGTGAGCATCTGCATCTATGGTGTAAGGCTTTTGCATTGAAAATTAAAAGAAAATATTTATTTTTTAAGTCACAGTTCAGATGTATGTAATTAATTAAGGGACTCTTATATTGTATGAAAATTTTAGATCTAACGTCAAAAAACAAATAAAAACTCTTAAGATCACCACAAGCTGCTTTTGATTTCTTCGTGTATATAATACTTGGGTGATTTTATCCAAGTTTGGAAGGGGAAGTTGTTTGGTAAATTCTAACGTCCTACGAATGAAGCGTTTTCTATTCACAAGGAAAAGGACAATAGGAATGAAATTAGCCTCAGTCAGAGCAATGGTAGGCCATTTCCTTTCTGCAGAAAATAAAGCATATCATGTAAGTTTTGTCGGTTTATATGACCACACCGTAGGAACTTTTCACTGTCTCAGATTCACATGAAATTATCGAAACTTTCAAACGAGACACTTCCAAAGTTGTCGAGTTAAAGATGTGTCTTGAGAGATTAGTCTGCTAACAATTTAAGCACAAAAAAAAACGACAGAAATCGTCAGACATTAATACTGAATTCCAGCGAAACCAAAGTAAAGTGATGTCTACCGAAACACGGACTCAGGGTCTGGGACGGGAGACATGCGAGGACGAGTAAAACATAGTAGCATGAGTGAGGGGCTTTGTCCTCCCGACCCCCGTTAAAATTTCTAGTTTCTTTTTGCCCCAGAGCCCTGACACGTCTTTTGAGTTTCTCCCGCTTATGTAAAAGGAAGCGGAAACCTCTAGTGCCGGGGCCTGGGCCGAGATCTGTTCTCGTTGTTATACTTGTCTGAAGGTTGTCACCATATTTATTTTGGGTACACTTACTTTATAATCGATTTATAACCTAATTCTGCATTTAAACTGTAGCAAACAGGTTTAAGGAAAGAGTCTGATTAGAAGCATTGTTTTTTGTTTTGTTCCACCCTTTTTCTTAAATCTCTAGCCAAAACTTCATTCAATAAAAAAATGACTCCTTGATTCAATATTTTTTTTTGAGACTTTTAAGATGATTTTTTGAATGTTTTTAATGTATAGAAATTAGAGGGGCATGTTTAAAACTTTGGAAAAATTAGAAAATATTGGGTTTGGGGTTTGTTAAAAATTAAAATATGAGGTGAATAATTAGTAAACAATTACCAGATAGTCCAACACCATAACAGCAAGGTACCTCATTGTCGAACTAATTTTCGAAAATTCTCAATTCGGCCGCACTTCAGAAGAAAACAAATTATCTTACAAATAAAAAGATGCTTATAGTCGTTAACTATTCACACTCAGGTTTTACCTGGCGAATAAAATCATCCCACGAGGAATTAAAGGAAACGGCTTTCTTTTTTTTCTGTGTCGGAGAAGCGGTGATTGCAGTCTGTTTCACTATATGGTTTTCATGTGCTAGTAAGAATCAAAGGGAAAGGTGATATAAATGACAGCCAGCGAAGACTGCGAAAAGCAGGGGTTGGGGTAGGAAATGTCACTAAATTAAACATGGACTTTAATATTCTAAATGATAACACAGGAAGAAGACTATTGTTCAATAACTATTAATATAAAGTGTGTTTTTGTACGTCAGACATGGTAAATCGAAAAGAAATTCAATACTTTAATGGCCACAAAAAGAAGGCTAAAGTTAGCTGTCTGCTTTCTTGCAGGTGGAAGAAGCTCTACTTACGGCTGGTGGGCCGCCATCATGCACAAAACCCCGTTTCAACTCCCATACAAACTTCTTTCGGTAGGCAGTCGCGAACCAGCCTGTTCCAGGATCCGAGATAGTCGGTTCCACGGAACTGTGAAAGCGCAACACGAAAATAAAACGGGATTTTCGCGTTTTATCCATGTCCCTCTGTATGCTAAGAGACCCAGTGGAATCTATATCTTCACCGGGTGTCGGAGAAAACGTCACTGAGTTGGTTTGGTTTTCACCGTTTTTTGGTTGTTTTTTCTTTTGCTTGGTTTTGCATCTCCCATAAAACTGGCTAAAATGGGTGGCAGGTCTAACATCATGAATGGTATGAAATCTTTGAAAACCTTTTACTGAAAAACCTTTTATTGCTCTAGCGAGAAGGAGTAAGAAGTTTACACTTTTTTATGCGAGATTGATTACCTGTACCGGCTCCGATTTCATTCAGCTCAGTGGTATTAATGTTTTATAGTTTTGGTTTCTTTAAAGCAAATATAGAGAAAGACATACATTGGTTTTGTAGTCACAATTGAAATTGACCTAGGAAGAAAAAAGTTTAGCCGGGTAGAAACAGACTATTCGCGCCAGGTACCCGGGAAACTAAATATCACTGGGTAGCTGAATGAATTAAACCACTGTGTAGGGCCAGTTCACTGGCTCTGTTACAGAGGGGTGTTTTGTAACGTGGTTTTATACAAAAACAATGAAAACAGCTATGAAAAAAATAATAATTCGTCTTACCATGAGATAAAAAGGAAATCCAAAGAAACGCTTGTCTTGTGACTCGTGTTTCAAACCTTTTTATAGTGTCCTTCGCGTGATTTGACTTAATGAAAGTTAGAAGATGCAAGCATATGACAAGAATAACAATTCACCCACTTCTGTGAACAAAAAAGATGGCAAAATCGGTTGTTAAGTTCTAGGTACAACACTAAATATAGAAGGGATATTGACAAAGTCCGTTTAATGTGCACCTCGCGTGATTATGGCCTGACACAACATCAAAGACTATAAAAAACATCAAGACAGGGCGTTTAATCAACAGTGTGATTGTGCTCACAAACGTTCTCGAGTGAAGCATTACCTGAAAACACTCAGCAAAATGTCTGCACCAGGAAAGGTAAATATCACATGGTTGGATCTAAACTGTGTTCGAAGAGCATCATTTAATCTGATTCATTTTCCATTATTATTATTTTTTTTATTATTTATTTTTAATTATGATTGTATTTTTATTTTTTTATTACTTTGGATTGTCAATTCTGGGTGACCCAAAAAGAAGGAGCCTATTGATTTCTTAAACAATTTTTTCATTTGTTCAAAAGGATATAAAAAATGTACGTAACGCAGATTAATTAATAAAAGAAAAGAAAAATTAAAGACAATTTTCTTTTGTTTTTCAGAAAATTACTCATCAAAGCGAAGATCTTACTCGTCCGATAAATGTCGGTCTACGAAAAGATGATGACAACGAAGGTAAAGTCTCTTCTCTTGTGGGATTTTTTTTTGTGTGTGCATAAACAAAACGCAGTGAGCTCTGACTGGCTTTACGGAATGAAGTAAAACAAATGAAGGTTTCCCTGAATTGCAATGCCATTTTTTTTTAATCTTAGCCATAAACCCAAGTGAATTCCAGTTTTTGAAAGTGAACGTGATATTTGCAGCCCTCTGAGTGATAAAGTGCAAAAATGGCAGGGGGTTGTTATGCACTCGATTAGCTTAAAAATCACATAAACAAAGGAAAAGGAAAGGAAAAATAGAAAGTGGGAGAAGAGATTAAATTAATGAGTTGCTATCTTCAACTTCAACTTTATTTAATAAAAATACTGATTACAATTTATAGATTGGCCCGCAAAATAACAATTGCTAATCTAGGAGGACCAGTTAAAAGAAAAGTAAAGGGAAAGGAAACGAAGGAAACTATTTTAAGTTATAATAAATAATATTTCTATCATAGTTTTATTTTAATTAGATTAAATCTACTAAGAAAAGACGAAAAAGGAATTGACGGAGTGCGAAAAAAACAAAACAATACTTTTGTACAGAAAATCACTTTTAATAACTGTTAATCTATCTTAGTTTTTATACTGGCTTCTTTTGTTTCCACAAAAAAACTGCCTGACAGAAGAGGTCTATTTGGGGGTAGTGCTTTCAAGAATCCTGCTAGATATAGAAATGCCAAAACACTTGTGTCGTTTTATCATAATAAGTTATCATTTTACATTCTAGGCCAGCTTCTGTGTAAGGATTTCAAGATCCAGGTGCTTCCTGCAGCCTTCTATCTGAATGAAAATGTTAATTTCAAACAGTCTTGTTCAGGAAAAATGAGCACACAAGGTTGTTGTTGCTGAGGAGTACTAGTGCATCATCCAGCACTGTTGCAGTATTGATGTTAAGCAGTAATTAACTACGGCTTAATTTTTGCTGTTTTCTCATGTAAACTGTAAGCATCTATGATTTAAGGCTTTTGCATGATTTCATATTTATTTTATAAGTCAAAGTTCAGATGTATGTAGTTAATTAAAGGACTCTTATATTGTGATGAATTTTTTGTATCTACCCTCAAAAAAAACAAATAAAACCTCTTAAGATCACCACAAGCTGCTTTTGATTTCTTCATGTGGATAATACTTGGATGATTTTATCCAAGTTTGGAAGGGTAATTGCTTGGGAAATTCTAACGTCCTACGAATGAAGAGTTTTCTATTCACAAGGAAAAGAACAATAGGGATGAAATTAGCCTCAGTCAGAGTAACGATAGGCCATTTCTTTTCTGGAGAAAATAAAACATATCATGTAAGTTTTCAGCCAAATATACTGGTGTGGCATCCTTGAAAAGTGACAGAGTCTAAGTGTACTTTAATAGCTTTGAAAGTTTGCTCTGTGAAGGTTTCAACAGCTCAATTTCTACACAGAACTGAGATTAGTCTGCTAACGATTTAAGCAAAAAAAAACGACAGAAATCGTCAGACATTAATGCTAAATTCCAGGGAAACCAAAGTAAAAGGATGTCCCGAAGCCCGGACTCAGGGTCTGGAGCGGGAGGCATGCGAGGACAAGCAAAACATAACAGCATGGGTGTGGGGCTTTGTCCTCCCGACCCCCGTTAAAATTTCTAGTTTCTTCTTCCCCCAGAGCCCTCACACGTCTTTTGAGTTTCTCCCGCTTATGTAAAAGGAAGCAGAAACCTCTAGTGCCGGGACCTAAGGCACTAGATCTGTTGTTGTTGTTATTCTTGTCTGAAGGTTGACACCGTAGTTATTTTGGGTACATTTACTTTATAATCGACTTATATCCTAAATCTGCATGGACATAAACTATTAATATCCTTCACTGGCAAACAGTTTTAAGAAAAGAGTCTGATTAAAAGCATTGTTCCACCCTTTTTCTTAAATATCTAACCAAAACTTCATTCAATCAAAAAGTCGGAGTCCTTGATTCAATATTTTTTTTGAGAATTTTTAGATGAGTTTTTGCATTTTTTTAATGTATATAAATTAGGGGAGGGGGAATGTTTAAAACTTTGGAAAAATTGGAAAATATTGGGTTTGGGGTTTGTTAAAAATTAAAATTTAAAGTGAATAATTTGTAGACAATTACCAGATAGTCCACCACCACAACAAGGTGCCTCATGGTCGAACCAATTTTCGAAAATTCCCAATTCAGTTTCATGGTCGACCTAACTGAGTTTTTCAATTCGTCAAGTCGTGAAATTCAAATCAGTGAAAGTATCAGTTTGTTTGGCAAAAGACTTTAAAAATTCCTTCTTTCTTAGCCAAATATACTCTTTGTTGAGGCACATACCTTTTCTTTTTTTCTTTTTCTTTTCTTTTCTTTACTTTTAAAAATTACCCATTTTTCATTCAGTACTTTTAACTCACATGGTTTACCTTATAGTTCTAGAACGCCTATAGTGTATAAGCCCTCGGCTTCTGTGTAGGCTTCCTTGTCATTACCCTTTTAAACATTTAATTTTGTAAATAATATAGTTAGAATAGTGTACATTATCTTTAATGTATTATAAATTTCTTGTATATTGTTGTTATATTCATATGTAGCTAATGCCAAAATAAATGGAATCTTTTTTTCTTCGTGAATTTTTTCTCGCGCTCCACTTTCGGATGACACGTGGAACAGGCTAGTAAACTAACGGATTCGCCGCTGAATTGGCGACCAAGAGAACGATGACTACCAGTGCAACATTGTCAGACACGTCTAAAAAAGATGATTCTCAGGATTAGATAGTTTTTTTACTACATTAAATGCCAAGAAAAACACCACTATAGCAATTATGAAGCGTGCTGAGTTGTGTTTATGTCTTCCAGGGGGAGCTGCCGGTTGTCAACGCCCCAGTTAAAGTTCCTTCCTGAGAGACTCCATTGCAGAATTCTGCAGTGATTGCTTGCGAACTACGGCTAGAATACGGACATCAGCATAGATAAGGAGAGCTGAAAACAATATGTCAAAACCTGAGACACAAAATTAGACTAGGCTCGATTTCCGCCGTCTCCCGGGTCCGGTTTTGATGAGTGCGGGCTCATTTTCCGGAACAGCGGCTGGTAATCGAGCCTACAGTTAGACGCAGTACTTTAGAAAGAGTGGGTGAGCTTGAGACGAACATTCCAAGAAAGAGAGGTAAAGCGATATCGATCAATAAGGGAATCAGCCATGCCAACAAGATGATTCTTCCAGCGCGTCTCACGAAGATGAAAGTAATGTTTTTAAGGGGAAGGACGATTGCTGTGTAGCGATCCCATGTTAAAATGCAGATATTTGCTACTGAAGAGTGAACGAGAAACCAATAAGCAGCTATATTCATCCATTTGTTAAAGGCCGTCGCTGCAGTTGATTGGTTCCATTAAGGATGCATAACTGGATAGGAAGATGATTACAATTCCTACGCCAAAATCAGCTACTGCCAAGAACAACAGTAACCAATTGAACTGGGAATGTAGACGGCGAGTTTTAGCTACAGGATAATTAAGACGGAAACCAACCACCCACAAATATAAAACCAAACCTTCATCTTCAAGAGTAATTAAGTAAGATACGCGCTGACTTAACGATTATTTTGAGGCGTTGTTAGTTTATCATAAGCAACACTTCTTGTTATGTGCTGGTCAAGGTGATAGCTCCACATCGCCTTTTTTACCATTTATCAGCCGCTTGGAACAATCACGCATAGCATTAATGACTAATGAAGGTGACTTATCTGTCACTAATAAAATTATAATTTACACTTCATCTGCTCTGAACACTGAAATTTTACACAGATACTGGCGAGAAATCACGAAATGATATGAGGTGGGGTAACCTTGGCTATCTAACTAGTTTCCCTTGCTGCAGCTGTTGCCTCCTCAGCAGCTCGTTTTTTTAGTCAGTATATGGCCAGAATCAGGGCAGATTTTCGCACTTTTTCCCAGAAATGCACTCGCCAGCGACAGTGGCGAATCTGGCACGATTCTTTCGAATTCTTCAGGGGTTTGGAAAACATTCAGTAAAATAACAAGTTAAGAGGGGCCTCCTGGGCCAAAAATTCAAACTCAGGGGAAAGATTGCCAACTGGTAATGGCAAAAATGCAAATGAAATGGAAAATTTGACGACTGGCGAATAATAGACTTAGCTCATTCACATTTCCTTACTGCGGCTCCTTAATACGTTTCCTAATCAAGCTGCTCATTATTAAACTGTAATTCTGGGCTATCAAAAAATTCTCAATAATTACTTAGATTGATGATGCTTTCATCGCACGTAGTTAAAACATTAGAAATTGTGCCTTTCTAGGCCTATTCAATACAAAATTTGTTGATTACCGATGAAGGCTCTATTAGAAGGTACCACTTTGAAAAGGGGATAATGATAATTATTAAAAACTGAATCATTACTGAAATTCTAGAGCTCTGATTGGCTTATGGTATATGAGCAATTATACCATGCAAATATGAAAACTGTACGCGTCTGCTTCAAATTCAAAACAAGCTGAAAATCGGTTGTAATTACAAATAAAGCCGGGAAGAATTCTCGATATTTTGTGGGCGTTTTTAATAAAAACAATTATTCCACTCGCGCTTGTTGGATATGAGATGATTATAGTCATCTTGGCGCTACGGTGCCTCGCCTTTGGCTATCTACCATCTCATATACAACGCGCACTCGTAGAATAATTATTAAGTGTTTATTCATCAACAAAAGCTTCCTGTATGGCACCTAGACACTTAACCGTCCACCTTTCTCGCGCTCTGTGCTGCCTTTCTGAGTGGCATCCAACGACTGCTTTCTGTGAATATTTCTTCAAAGAAGCAGATACCACCTAAAGCATTAAATTGGATTTAAAATTTTCCGGGAAAATAAGACTGAAGTCCTTATAATTCGAAAAGACTCAGCCTGCCATAAGATAAGCGACCAGAAACAAATTTTATAGCGCCGCTAAGAATGCATTTTGGATAGCCTATAGCCAGTGTATTTAGGGGTTAACCGTCGATGAGTGCCCCTGCTTTCTTATCCCTGACCTTGATTCCTCCTACGCACAGAAATGGCTAAGCCCATTAGACGTGCACTCAGCTTTCTTAGAAAATACGTTATACTGGTCAACCATGAGTACCAACCTATGCATTATTTATATGAAAGAAGACTAAGTAATGGTTTCATTTACTTTCTTTTTAAGTGGTGACGACTTTTCGGTTGTAATGTGACAAAATTCAAACCCTTTTTTGTTTGTTTTGTTTTGTTTTGTTTTGTTTTGTTTTTCCTTAAATAGGCTTATTATCTACGGAGTTTAATTGCCTTTAGTGGTAATTGAATTTTAAGACTTTGACTCGGTCTCCCGCCAAAAAGGAACCTTGACACATATCCTAATAATCATACTCTAAAAAGCCTTTCAGTTAATGTTCGCAAACTTACTACTTAGGTTGTTTCAGAAGAACTAATTTACATACGATAATTGTGACGGAGTCGATGCGTCTGGCAAGATAAACTGACACTGTAAAACTTGTTTATAAAACGAAGAACGTCAATGTTGTTATCGTGAGTATGGCATTGAATAACATAAAAGTTTATGACGGCCTCTCTAGGGCATTTTTACTACGCTGCGTTTTGCAAAGCTTTCGACACACATCAATGAATTAAGTGACCTCAAGAGTAACTGGGTATTCAGCAGTTTCAAAAGTTTGTTAAAGGTTGAAACTGTAAAACAATCTGTAAATTAAACTGTTCTGACATGGACGTTTGGCTCAATGTTTCGGGGTGGTTACTTGTGTTTTCCCTGGTAGTTGCTGATCTGGGCGTTGGAATTGTTGCTTTTCCCAGCGGTTATATTTGCTTCATCTATAATGCGAACTGTAACAAGACAATATACATAGCAGCGTACTGGTTTCTCGTTCACTCTTCGGTTGCAAATCTCTGCGTTTTAACTTGGGATCGTTACACAGCTATCGTTCATCCCCTTTAAATACATAACGTCTATCACTGTGAGACGCCCTGGAAGGGTCATTCTGTTTGCATGGGCAATTCCCTTGTTGATATCGCTGTATCTTTCCCTGGAAATGTACGCCCACGAGCTCACTCACTGTTTTAAAAGTGCTGCGTCTACCTGGTGTCTCTGGTTTTGACATATTTTGTTCAGTTCTGCTTGTCTATGCTGTTGTACGTATTCTGACCGTAATTCGCGCACAATCACGCCGCATTTCTGCAATGGAGTCTCTCAGGAAGAAACTGCATACTAGGGTGTCGCTGACGTCATAAGCTCCGCCTATAAGACGTAAACACAACTCAGCACGCCTCATTATTGCTATAGTGGTGTTTTTCTTGGCATGTCATCTAGTAAAAGACTATCTAATCCTGAGAACCGTGTTTGTTTGAGACATGTCTGATAATCTTGCACTGGTATTTACCGTCTTGTTGGTCGCTAATTTGGCAGTCAATCCTTTGGTTAACGCGTTTTTTGAAACGAGACACAAAAAGAGAAGTCGAGCGGCTAACTTATAGAAGAGGTAATATGAAATCATAACTGTGAGCAATCGTGGTACCAGGCTTAAAACTTACCACTTGCTTGAGATGCACAAAGTACAGTTAAACCTCCCCACAAAGGCTACCTCGGGGACAGAAGAAAGTGGCCGGGGCCGTTATAGAGAGGTGGCCGTTGTACAGAGGTTTAAAAAAGAGTCAAAGTATGAAATGTCCGCCCAAAAAAGCGGCCGTTGTGGAGAGGTGGCCATTACTGGAGGTTCAGCGGTCTTACATCTGCGCGCATGTGATAAACTCATTTTCCTTTCTAAAACGTCCTCATCGATAGATAGAATAATGTGAGCCCTGTTATTAGCTTCTTTCTATAAATAAAAACTGAAAGACCTAAACCATAAGCTTTTTCAATGCTGCATAAGATCATCCTTGCGAGCGAGCGTGAGCGAAGAGATCAACGTAAGATCGGGGTTAGAAAACAGAAACTAAATAAACTCTAATAATTTAGAGGACGAATTGTAGTTGCTATAGTAAATTAACACTGAGTTCTTGGGAAAAACGGGCGAGCAAACAAATAGGGGGAAAATGCATAGTATCGCGTTTTACTTGGCAATGAAACACTAGTCAAAACCATCTGGCCAGAACTCACAAAAAAAGACGGTTTTTTCTTTTCACTCTGGAGAGCGTAAAAGAGCTGTGTTTTTGAAGACGAAAATCAATCAACAGAGTTTTATCTCATCAATAATTTACATGACGTCTCATAGAGAACTGTTAACATATTTTGCACTGACAGAAGTGTTTATTTCGAACAGAGAACATTTAAAGCGGTAAGTCAGTTAGTATACTGTCATTTAAAATTGTTAATAAAAAAATGTAACTTTGAATGAATCTTTTCGAATAAGGTAGATTATATATTTAAAGCTAGGCCAACGTTTTATTGACTTAATAAATTATTTAGAGCTTCACTCCAGTTTGTGTTTAAAAAAAATTGAAAATCGGGACTTGTTGACGCCATTTAAGAAAAACAGACTAGAAAAAAATGATAATAATCAAAACCAGTGTGCCGAGTGCACACATTATCTTACAAATAAACAGAGTTATACTCAGTAATTGTTCACAAGTTTTTCCTAGCGAATAAAACCCTCAAAACCCTTTTTTTTTTGCTTTGGAGAACTGAGCTCAGGGATAACAGTCTGTTTCAGCTCTATGATTTTCAGGGGCTAATAAGTTAGAACTCGAAGCGAAAGGGAAAGGCGATATAAAGGTCATCCAGAGAAGACTGCAAAACGGAAGCCGGGGTAACAAATGTCAACACATTTGGCAGAAACTTCCTAAATGATAATGCAGGAGGAAGAATATCGTTCAAGTTCTATGTAAAGTGCTTTTGTTGACATCAATCATTGCACTAAATTGAAGAGAAATCCAATACTAGCTTTAATGGCCACAAAAGAGGAGGTTAGCACTTTCTTGCAGACTTAAACAGTTGAAGCAGCTCTATTTACGGCTAGTCGGCCGCCATCACAAAATCCCGTTTTGAACAACTCACTGGCTGGTATGTACTATATCTAGGTATGATCCTATCACACCATCCCTGATCGACCTGCACTGGCTTCCGGTTACCCACAGAATANTTGCTATAGTGGTGTTTTTCTTGGCATGTCATCTAGTAAAAGACTATCTAATCCTGAGAACCGTGTTTGTTTGAGACATGTCTGATAATCTTGCACTGGTAGTTACCGTCTTGTTGGTCGCTAATTTGGCAGTCAATCCTTTGGTTAACGCGTTTTTTGAAACGAGACACAAAAAGAGAAGTCGAGCGGCTAACTTATAGAAGAGGTAATATGAAATCATAACTGTGAGCAATCGTGGTACCAGGCTTAAAACTTACCACTTGCTTGAGATGCACAAAGTACAGTTAAACCTCCCCACAAAGGCTACCTCGGGGACAGAAGAAAGTGGCCGGGGCCGTTATAGAGAGGTGGCCGTTGTACAGAGGTTTAAAAAAGAGTCAAAGTATGAAATGTCCGCCCAAAAAAGCGGCCGTTGTGGAGAGGTGGCCATTACTGGAGGTTCAGCGGTCTTACATCTGCGCGCATGTGATAAACTCATTTTCCTTTCTAAAACGTCCTCATCGATAGATAGAATAATGTGAGCCCTGTTATTAGCTTCTTTCTATAAATAAAAACTGAAAGACCTAAACCATAAGCTTTTTCAATGCTGCATAAGATCATCCTTGCGAGCGAGCGTGAGCGAAGAGATCAACGTAAGATCGGGGTTAGAAAACAGAAACTAAATAAACTCTAATAATTTAGAGGACGAATTGTAGTTGCTATAGTAAATTAACACTGAGTTCTTGGGAAAAACGGGCGAGCAAACAAATAGGGGGAAAATGCATAGTATCGCGTTTTACTTGGCAATGAAACACTAGTCAAAACCATCTGGCCAGAACTCACAAAAAAAGACGGTTTTTTCTTTTCACTCTGGAGAGCGTAAAAGAGCTGTGTTTTTGAAGACGAAAATCAATCAACAGAGTTTTATCTCATCAATAATTTACATGACGTCTCATAGAGAACTGTTAACATATTTTGCACTGACAGAAGTGTTTATTTCGAACAGAGAACATTTAAAGCGGTAAGTCAGTTAGTATACTGTCATTTAAAATTGTTAATAAAAAAATGTAACTTTGAATGAATCTTTTCGAATAAGGTAGATTATATATTTAAAGCTAGGCCAACGTTTTATTGACTTAATAAATTATTTAGAGCTTCACTCCAGTTTGTGTTTAAAAAAAATTGAAAATCGGGACTTGTTGACGCCATTTAAGAAAAACAGACTAGAAAAAAATGATAATAATCAAAACCAGTGTGCCGAGTGCACACATTATCTTACAAATAAACAGAGTTATACTCAGTAATTGTTCACAAGTTTTTCCTAGCGAATAAAACCCTCAAAACCCTTTTTTTTTTGCTTTGGAGAACTGAGCTCAGGGATAACAGTCTGTTTCAGCTCTATGATTTTCAGGGGCTAATAAGTTAGAACTCGAAGCGAAAGGGAAAGGCGATATAAAGGTCATCCAGAGAAGACTGCAAAACGGAAGCCGGGGTAACAAATGTCAACACATTTGGCAGAAACTTCCTAAATGATAATGCAGGAGGAAGAATATCGTTCAAGTTCTATGTAAAGTGCTTTTGTTGACATCAATCATTGCACTAAATTGAAGAGAAATCCAATACTAGCTTTAATGGCCACAAAAGAGGAGGTTAGCACTTTCTTGCAGACTTAAACAGTTGAAGCAGCTCTATTTACGGCTAGTCGGCCGCCATCACAAAATCCCGTTTTGAACAACTCACTGGCTGGTATGTACTATATCTAGGTATGATCCTATCACACCATCCCTGATCGACCTGCACTGGCTTCCGGTTACCCACAGAATATAATTCAAGATAGCAATGCTAGTTCACAAATGTATCTACGGCGTCGCACCACAATATCTTTTAGACTTGATAAAAATCAAAGAGAGCTCGCGATATCAGTTGAGATCATACCGGGGCATACTCCTAATGGACAATACCTATAGAACAAAAAAGACACTCGGGGATAGGGCGTTTGAAAATGCTGCGCCCAAAGTATGGAACCGACTCCCTCTAGAAATTAGACAATGTCAATCATTGAACATTTTTAAAGTTTTACTAAAGACACATCTTTTTAAACTAGCTTTTTATTAGTTCTTCTATTAACTCATATTTTACTTTTATTGTTTTCCGAAAATTGGAAATTATTATTATTATTATCATTATTTGGATTAGCCATTTATTACTTTAAGATTTTAGTGTTGTAATGCGCATTCGATCATATCTTTATTGCATGTTAGACTGCGCAATATAAGAAATAAACATTATTAGAAACAAACATTAACTCACATACAAACCCTATTTTTACATTCCCGTTGGCGGTCGCGGACCAGCCCTTTCCAGAATCCGAGACAGTCGGTTCCGCGGAATTGTGAAACCCGAACACGAAAATAAAACGCCGGGGATTTTCGCGTTTTTTACATGCCCCTCCGTAATTGAGATCCAGTGGAATCTATATCTTCACCGGGTTCTCGGAAACAACGTCACCGAGTTGTCTTATTTTTCACTTTTTTTTGCTCGGTTATGTATCTCCCATAAAAGCTAAAATGGTCTAACATCTTTACTGGTATGAAACTTTTAAAAAACCTTTTACATATTGTTCTAGCTAGAAGAGCTAAAGAGGTTTACACTTTTTTATGCGAGATCGATTTCATTTAACAGCCTCCGATTTCAATTGTCAGTGGTAATAATGTTTTATAGTTTTTTTTCCCTTAGAGCAAATATGAATATAAAAATATACTGCTTTTGTAGTCACAACAGAAATTTACCTGAAAGAAAAAAATTTAGCCGGGGAGAAACAGATTATTCGCGCCAGGTACCCGGGAGGCTAAATATCACTGGGTAGCCGACTGAATTAAAT